GACGCAGTTATCTTCAAAAAACTATTTGGCCGCCTTCCCAATTGAGTTTTTAGCTGAAATTTGGTAAACTTAAACTAAACTTCATGAATAACATGCTAACAAAATGAGGTTTTGACCTGAATATTACTAAAAATTGGATCATGTAAAAAAAAGTGACATTTTTTTCTTAATTTCCAAAAATGTGACTAATAAACATTAGGCTTACTGAATTAACCCTAATTTGCAGCGACTTTATCTTATAGTTACATGACCCGTCATAGTGACCACCGACACAGTGATGCACGCCGCACCGACCACCGGCCGACGATGATCGGTGACTGCCGTCAGCCCCAGTGACATGGTGACACTGACATAGTGACTCCAGCCGGTCAAAGTGACACCTCCATGGTGACTCCATTCACACCAATAACGCCATAGTGACCCACCGCCGGTCACCACCACCGTTTACCTGACCTCAACCACTCGTACCCAAACCTAGCCTCCAAACTCCAACCCACCACCGCCATGACCATCGTCGTAACCACCACTACCGATGGTCAACACATTGTACCACCACCACTAACGGGCACCACCAGCAACTACGGTCACCAGTGACCTTCGTGCCTCCAGTGACCACCCTTACTCCCCACCACAACCGTCACTTGTGACCCCCACCACCACCCCCATAATGATCCACATTGGCGCACACCCAATCGAAACCCTAGCCGCCCAGAAATCTAGCTGCCCAAATATGGAAATCTACATACAATGACGGATGTGCTCCAAAGAGGCGACGAAAGAGTTGCATACGAGAAGAAAGGAGAAGAAGAAGAAGTGTGGCAGCAGCGGCTCAGTCGAGGACGCGAACAGCTGCAACGAGAAAGGGTGCGGCGGCGGACTATGGCGGCTCTGACTGACGAACGCATGTGAAGTCTGCTATCGCCGCTTTTGCGTCTTCACTCTTCATCAGAGCCGCGATCTTGAACCTCCATTATTGCTGCTTCAGGTCTCAAGCCTGAAGTGCAGGCGCGGGCATAACAAATAGGAGCTAAAGAAGAGAGAGTAAGTTAATGATAATGTCGTATTTTTATTATGTATTGTTTCACTTTTAATTAATTTTATTGTTTGTGGTTAGAGAAATTACACACTTTTGGTGTAATTATTTTATTTTTCGAGATAGATGTAATTTGTTTAGATTATGATTATTCTGAGCCTAAAACAGGTCAAGATCATCCAAAGGATCAAGACTGGACCCCACAAGATCAAGGGAAGTGCAAGGGGACAAGATAAAAAGAAGATTGAAAAAAATATTTCATATACCCGGTCGGGTATAGGCAATACCCGATCGGGTATTGAGTTGATTCGAGTGTCAAAATCAGAATCTGGAGAGACAAAAACACGTGCAGGATTTTGAAGATTTGGCTCATAACCGACCGGGTATGCCTACATACCAGACCGGGTATGTCCAAAAAGTGACTTTCTGGGAAATTTCCTAAGATACCCGATCGGGTATCCTATATACCCGATCGGGTATCTTATATACCCGATCGGGTATCCTATATACCCGATCGAGTATCAGACCCTCCAGCTCCCAAAAGCCTATAAATACACCCCTTTCCTTCACAATAAAACCACCAATTCATATACACTTCTAAGCTCAGTTTAGACAAGTTCTTTCTTTATATTTTTATCATGTTTAGTCTCCAAATGAGGAGCTGCACTCTTCCATCTTGGTTTGACTACTTTGAAGCTTAATGAATTTTAAGTTGTGAGTTATTTTCTTTAATCTTCTTCGTTGAATATTAATTAATCTATCTCTATATTAATGTTGGGGGTGTTGCTAAGATGACAATTAGTCAACATCTCAACATTAGTTATAGTAACATTTATTTTCTTTAATCTTCTTCCTTGAATATTAATTAATTCCTATTTATATTTCATATTAATATTTTGAACATTACTTCAAGGATCAACTAATTTTGTTTCATATATTAATTATTACTAGAATCGGTCGACGAATACGCTTGTTAATCTTTGTTCTTGTTCAAAAAAAATTAAAAAAAAAACTTGTTAATTTAAAAACCTGAGAGGGCAACTTAAGTAAAAATAAAGCAAAAATAAGAGTGAGTTGTGAGGATTAAAACAGAATAATGTGGGAAGCTGGGATGAAAACCCGAAAGGGCACCTAGGCAAAATGAGAGAAAGTATTTTCTTTTATTTCTGCAGGATCCTAAGGGTAACGAAAAAAATTGAGGTTGATAAGAAATATGGAGTTGAAGACCCCTCTTTACTCTTATATTTTTGGGAATATTTTTTGTGTTGTTCTAAGAACACACATGGATGGTTGTGTTGATACTCTTGTCATTTTGAGGACTTCTTGGACACAATTTGGTTTACTCGAGACGAGTAAAGGTTCAAGTGTGAGGGTGTTTGATATGCACTAATTAGTAGTGCATAAATGTATCTTTTTATGTTTGATTTGTGTGGATTGTTTACCATTTTATTTAGTTTGTAAACATTTGTGTGATTTTAGTTGTAATTGTATTGTAGTTCTCATTTGTAAGTTGTAAAGTAGAGTTAGGATTTATGGTGTTGGAAAGGAAGACTTTGAAGTGAAGAAACATGATTATTGGCTGCCCAAGACAATCACCCGGTCGGGTGAGGTATTGCACCCGGTCGGGTAAGACATTGAAAAGCGAAGGTGGCTGGAAACTACAATCACCCGGTCGGGTCAGATGTGACCCGGGACAAAACGACGTGCTGAAACACAAAAACGTGGAAGATTATCTGATTTTGACATGCACCCGGTTGGGTGGGCACTTGACCCGGTCGGGTACCCGGCCCAAGGTGTTGAAAAGCACCTATAAATAGCACACTTTTCCTTCACAAATAATCACTCCTTCTTCCATACTCTTAAGCTCAACTTAGAATAGTATTTCTTTTATATTTTTATAGCATGTTTAGTCTCCAAATGAGGAGCTAAACTCCCATTTCATGGTGTTGCTCTTGAAGCTTGTTGATTATTAAAGTTGTGAGTTATTTTCTTAACTTCTTCCCTTGAATATTAATTCTTCCCTTAATTTATCTTTATATTAATGTTGGGGAGTGTTGCTAAGATGACAATTAGTTAACATCTCGACATTAATTACTACTAGAAACGATCAATGAACCGATAGTTAATCGTTGATGGTTTCACAAGAAAGTAACTTCGCATTATTAATGCACGGTCGTGGTTAATAAACTTAAGAGGGATTAATTATGTTGGTTAAACCGAAACCGTTGTGTTGATGTTATCAATCTCAATTGATTTCATCAAGGAGTTAAGAGATTAAATGCTACTATTAAATCGGTATGCGGCGTTGTTCTATATTTGATTAATAGTAAGGGTTATTAATGAACGGTCGTTGTTAATAACTACCATCAATGAATTGAATATACTTCTCGATTGAGTATTTGAGAGGGGATAAATTATAGATATAACAATGATCGACTAAATACATCAACAAGTGGAAAGTAACAAAATCAAGTCTTTTTATCTTTGAATTAAATCTCATATAAGTTGTTCATCTTGGTGTTTAATTAAATTAAATCACTCAATCCTAAAAAAAACCCTTTTATTTACTAGTTTTATAAAAAGAGAATTATTCATTTCCCTGTGGATACGAACTCTACTTCGCTATACTACGTATAAGTGTTAGTATTGAATTTATTTTGACGCACTGTGACAAAGTGCTCGTCACACTGGCCGGAAAGCAGTTAAACATATCATCCCTTATCTCTCTGGCACCATTACACATGGAATTCTCATCAAACCCATCCCTTTATCCACTATGTCTCTGCCCATTTCAGCATTTTGTGACGCTGGTTGGACCTTAGTCCAACTCTAGGAGATCTACATTAGGGTCTTGCATTTTTCTTGGTCCAAACATTATTTCTTGGTGGTCCAAGAAGCAGCTGAGGGTTGCCAGATCCTCAGCAGAGGCCAAGTATAGAAGTATGGCTGATACCACTGCAGGACTTCTATGAGTTCAGTTTCTTCTTCATGAACTTCAAGTCTCCTTTGCTACTCCAAAAATCTATTGTAACAATCTAAGCACTGTTCAATTGGCACATAATTGACACTCTTGAATCAAGCATATGGAGATTGATCTGTTTTTTGTACGAGAGAAAGTACAGTTGAAGCAACTGCAAGTGTTTCGCACTCCTGCTCAACACTAATTTACTGATGTTCTAACTAAACCACTGTCTGCTTCATCCTTCATTGATTTAAAACCAAACTCATTGTGATTGCTCTTCCAGTACAATCATCCCGAGTTTGAGGGGGGAATGTTAGACTATACGCAGTGTAATTAGTAAAAGTCAGTTCAAGGATAGTTAGTAAGTATATTGTGTAAATACATTTGTCAATTTTTAAGAGACCTTTAAAAAGTTTCGAATCAGACCCTGAAATTGCTAGGATCGGCCCTGGGCCGGTCTCATTATAATTGTCCATGTCAGGCCTGGTATGATCTGGTTTGGGACCGAAAATAGTCCTCAATCTAAAGAATATAGCCCAAGACTGGTCCTCAATCTAAAGAATATAGCCCAAGACTGGTCCTCGTGAACTGCCACCTGATCCTAAACCGAACTTTTCCTCCCCCATCCGATGTCCCTAACCGACAGGGTCCGGTTCTTATATATAAAATACGCATTGAGCACATTGAGCAGACATGTATCGTCCAATTAAATTCATTCTTATGATATTAATAATTAATTAATCTCAAGAAAAAAAAACAAGTTTAATTTGAATGACACAAGATGGTTATCAGAAATATCAGATCAAATATAAAAGAATTTAAAAGATTCGAACAATTCAAATTTTTGATCAGATGAGATCAATTAGATATGAAAGTTTGAGATTCTAAATAAATTGAGATGCCAACCATTCGAGTGAGGGCAGCTAAGAAATGAGATACATTAATAAAACGAAAGTGAAGCAAAAAATGAGATATATAGTTGTGATTTTGTAAACAGATCGACCACAACTATTGCAATTAACATGAAGTCTTTGTCATTTGGTTTCTTCATTCAAAATGGAAGATCAGGGATACCACTACAAAAGTATATATCTGTATAACATATGTACTTCGTATATGATGAAGGTGAAAAGGTAACAAAACTAAGAGCGTCTGGTCTGGATGAAAAACTATATGAGAAAAAAAACATAGTGTGCAGTCTTCTGAATATATTCTTCTTATCAACATTCACTACTCTTTGCTTTTGGTCTTCTGAAATCTACTAGGGATACAACTAAACATTGTTGTCTCAGAATGGGACTTATTCGGCCGATGGGCTTTTATGATTGCTGCAAGCCTTTCATCTCCGGCCAGCCTCCTCATTCTTTGAATCATTTCGTGCCTTGAGATTTTCCTTTCCTGCACCAAACAAGTATGAATTAATAGAACAAAAAAGAAAGCACTTGCTCTATAATCAGGCAATCAAGCAAACACTTACTCTATAATTCTTGTGCTGCTCTGAAATCAATCTCATGGTGTGAGGAGGCAAATATTTTGCCAGTGCAGAAAGCAGAGCAGGAAAAGAAATCCACGGCGAACTTGGCTTTCTAAATGGGAACTCCGCCGCATCTGTTCTTCTTTCTCCTGAAAAGCAAACCAAAATCTGAGCTCCCAAATCAAGCATTCAACCCTAAAATCGTACATTGATTTCCAATTATCAGATATACAAAAACAGAACACAGCATACCAGAGGAGGAGGAGGAAACTCTGAAACTGATAAGGTACAGGGGCAAGATATGAGTATTCATGTGAGTGCTCCACACGATGTAGTTGGTGGGAGAAGCAGAGTCATCGACCCCAGAAACAAATTCTTGGGTGGTGGGATACCATTGCCGGGAGCCACGAGGCACCTCCTCCGTCTTCCCCAGTATCACCCGGCAAAGCAATATATGCCGTACTCCGTTCTCATCGGCCACCGCTGATTTCACGCTGCAACAGAAATAAGCTTCATTCATATAATATCACATATGCATATTCTGAAGTCTGAACCACAGTCAGGATTTTAGGAAGCTTATTTGGAGTTTGGACTAAGAATTTTAAACAAAACCTAAAAAAACTGCAATTACTCATAAGAATAACATGTACCTTCCGAGAGGAAACTGATCGGGTGAGAGGTAGATACCATAGCCGTGGTCTCCGTTCTTAATCATAGAAGGAAGAAACCCGTGTGAGAGAATGGTGTTGATATGTTCGACGGAAGCTCCGAACCAAGCATACCGGACATTAGCATTCCCGTCGCCGCCGGATTCCTCAGCGGCTTTGGCGAAAATCTCAAACGCCTGAAGCTTCGCCTTCTTAGTCGAGCTCGGAAAAGCATTCCTACGAACAGCCTCGATTGAAGTATTATGATCTCCCAGGCCACCTGCCAGAAGCTTCTGCCTGATCAGATGATGAATCCTTTCGTCTTCGCCGACTCTGATCAGCTCCGTGTCGAAATCCTTCATCTCCTCATGAAACGTCGTCGAAGTATCCGAAACCACGCTCTCGCAATCGGAAACAACTTCCTGCTCAGGATCCGAGCACAAACTCGAACGGCTTTCCATGGCGGGCAATAATGACATGGACTCCTGGAGTTGTTGCTGCATTATGACGGCTGGATCCGGAGCTGTTCTTCGAAGGGAAGAACGGAAATCGAAGAATCAAAATTGAATTCCAATTGTAATCTGAAAAGCAAGCTGAAGAACTTAAACTGGAATGAAGAACAGGGGAATTCTCTGGAACGACATATTGAAACCGTATTTATAGTTTTCTTGTTGATGTGGAAACTAAGCTTGGGAATCAAGAAAAGAGGATAATGGTGTTAATGGTTTATTATTACGATTACCAACTTATATTTATACTCGGTATTTATATTTGGAATCATAAATACACCTTTATTGAACACATCATTTTACTGATTAAAGAAAATATTAAAAAAATTGTTAAAAAATTCTTTTTTTGCACTAATAAGTTTTTTCGTCTGCAACACGAACAGAGAAAATATTTGTATACAGATAATTTGATCGATGTGTAATTGTATAATTTACAATGTGAAATAGCATTTTTTTAATGTATATATGTGAAAGTAAGAAGGGGGGCTAGCAAAGCCCACGGATACACCGCCATAGGTATTATTTTTTTTATAGAAAGTAATCAAGCATGAAGTAAGGGCCACGTTTCAAGCAAAGATATGGCCGCTTTTTAATTTCATGCGGGCGGTGAAGGAGTCTGTTTGCGAAGACTAGCACGCCGTTTTGTAGGATCTGTGTTCTGTCAATCCCAATGGCCAAAAAGACATGATACACATGCATGTATCTATATTGAGTAATTAAAATAAAATATCACACGTTCAGAAAATTAAGAATGAATCTCAATTAGATATAGGATATAAAATCGAGTTTGAATTTGATAAAATTCATTACACTTCACCGGTCCCGTTCCAATTGTTTCATCTTTCCTTTTTAATTCAATTCATTAAAATTATCTATATCAAATTTGGTAATGTTTAAACGAATTTAAATAACTTATTTTGACTTTCTCAATTCAATATTAAATATATGAACTTACGCTTCTGGATAATCACGTCACCTTTTCTTGTAGGGAAAATTCTCGAAATAGGACTAAAACGGTTTGAAAATTCCAAAATAGAATTGTCTTGTTTTTTATTCCCAAAATAGGAGTAATTACTGTCAACTTTGAAAAATTCTGCCACGTTTGAAGTCTGGTACTGCCAAAACATGGCAAAAGTAGTCCTATTTTAGGAATAAAAACATGGCAGTCCCATTTTGTAATTTTCAAACTTTTTTAGTCCTATTTCGGGTAATATTCTCTTTCTTATATTAATGTTAGGTGGAACTCTATCAAAACATTTAGAACACTTACAAATCTGTTTAATTTTATGATGCCTCCCTTTGCAAAATATGCCTTAACAACCTTGGTCCTCACTCCACGGAGAATTGTGCATTCTCAGCTTCCAGAAAGCTTGATGGTAAAATATTTACAATATTTGTCTAGAAATCTGCAACCTAATGAATAATCTTTAGTAATGTTAGGGTAATTGGCCCAACACAAGATCGACCCAATACTCCGTTAGAAGGAAGGGACCAGGCAACGGCCCACGAAAGGTGCATGATGCACGTCTTGATATGGTGACACTCATCCACATCGCCTTGGCCAGTTATGGTCGGGATTAACAATTGATAGGCCTCAATGGGGACGCTCAACTTGGGCCGAGCGGCATCCTAGGCCTTGCGCTAATTGGGATCTAGAGCTATGGAGTTTGGAGACGATCATACTAGGCAATTCGCAAGGAATAGAGATATTGGCGGAAACTGCATTTAATGCACTAGATTTGGTGGTTGGGAAGCTATCCACTCACAGTCATCCACGTCATCACTATCACCTACCCCTTGTTAGTATAAATAGCAGCATTTATTTCATAGTTAGGGGTTGACAACTTATAATCACCAACAATAGCAATTATTCCCTCGTTTCTAAGCTCAGACTATACGATTGGCTCAATCCAGTAGGGTGCGCTGTAATCGTTCTTAAGACACTTAATAAGAACAAGTCCCACCTATTGTCTTTCTCTCTACTTGCCATTTGCTTGTCTCATTTACTACAGTTTACTAAACACATCCTACAAAACCCGAAGGTATTGAGCCTTTGAAGTTGAAGGAATAAACCTCAACAAGTAGAATAGCGAATCTCTCCCAGGAACCCCAATGAGTCTTCTTAGTGCCATTTCTGAAACCCCAAGGATAGGGATTGAAAATCCATTTAACTTTTTGAATCACAGTTTTAGGGGTATTCATAGATTAAAAGAGGTAGAGACACATAAAGTTAGGGACATGTTGAATCAGAATAGGTCTCACAATCATTGACATATGTTGATTCTCTCATTAGGATGTTTTTAATTGGATTGAAATTTTCGGATCTGGTTAATGTCTGGTCCCTTGTATTTTATAACTAAACAAGTCTGGTATAAGATGAAAATCGTCCAAGTAAAAAACATCTTAAGTCAGCTGAGCTCTCATTTTATTCACAGTTTCATCCAAATAAAGTATTAGACCTTTTTATAATCTCTATAATAGGGTACGCAAAATTTCAACTGAAATTTTTGGTGGGCAATAAGTTTTTATATGGCCATTGTTTGAATTATGATATCATCATTAGCATGATATTGACCTATTTATGAAATATGGTGTGATAGTCTTGTATAGATTCAAGAATAATCAGAATATATTTCTTATTGAACACCTCATTGTAAAAATCCCCTGATCAGCTTCGCCACAATGAAAAAAATCCCTTGACAGCTTTACGCCCTTATTGCAATGAATTGCTCTTGAATAGAATATAAAGTTGAAATTCTTTCACACCTCATAAAAGAGACTCCCAACTGCTTAAGAAAATCGCGTTGATCAGGGACCAGATCCTATCCCGGTTTGAGAACATTCATGATACCATTCAATACCTAAATGGTTGCCAAACCAATGGCAAACTATCTTCAGCTAAGGTTTATGACCTTATCAGAGCTAGGGGGAACCTCAACGGTGGATGTCTTTCATTTGGAAGACCTATATTCCTCCTAAGTTCTCTTTCACTGTGTGGCTTGCCTTCCGTAACCGCCTGGCTACTTGTGATAACTTGTATATGCTTGATGTTGTTAATATTTGCCCTTTTGTAAGGATGGTCCGAAAACGGTGCCACGCCTATTTTTTGCTTGCTCCTTTTCAGGTAATGTTTGGAACATGGTCAAAGGCTGGTTGGGGATCCCTAGAGAGATGAGGACGCTGCATAGCTCGATGAAATGGATCAAAAGGCAAAGGCAAGGAGCGAGAATCAAAGCAAAGACGGCCAGGATTGCTTTCTGCTACTCTATCTATTGGATTTGGAGGACCCGTAATGCCACTATTTTTTATGGACTTACCCCTAAGGAGGATGACGTGTTTGCTAGGATACAATCCATTGTTTATAAGATCCTGTATAATCTGTATCCGCATAACCTTGTAGTTTTTTTTATTAATCTAGGGCTCGGCCTCCAACAGGTGCTTTGTTTGGTGCTTGGCCTCTGCTTTTTGGTTGCTGCCTTTCAAGGGTTGGGTTATCCTTGTTGGATAACCTCCATTTTTGTTTCCCTTTGTTTGTACATTCTGAACCTTTGTTTTCTTGGATGTTTTCTTGATATACTTACATTTCATCCAAAAAAAAATAAAGTTGAAATTCTATGATCGAGTAATATGGATATAAGGGCCATAAGGCTTGCCTTCAAATCTAAGAGGATATCTAACTTATTCGATCTGCTCTTCCTTCTAGAATCTAGATCAAGTATATTTTTCAATCTTAAACAAAATTAAACCAAAACAGAATAAACCAAACTTCCATAATTGTAAAATACGCATACATCCCAACATCTATCAAAACAGACTTCTTAAACAGGGGATGCAAATTATTGTTCTCAAGAGAAGATTTGTACACATAAATGAAAAACATCCCAAATGACCTAGATATGGTTGTTTTCTGATCGTTCAAGCACCGGCTATTGAACCTGGTCGTGATAGTTAAAAGAGAAAAATCGCCAATTGAAGAATTAACCCCCTAAACCAAATCAACCCAGGTATCCTAGACCAATTAATACTCTGAACAGTCATTTATATAGCTTAATAATATGCGTGAAATAATCAAGTTTACAGCCAATACCCTATCTTAATGTAATCTACTATTGACTTTTAAAGTAGTGATGGACCCGGGCCGGGTCGGGCCCGGGCCGGGTCAAGGCCCGGTCGGGCCTCGGGTCCTATAATGGTAGGCCCGGGACCGGCCCGGTCAATGACCGGTTCCGGTTCGGGCCGGGCCACCCGCCCGGGTCACGGGTCGGGCCACCCGCCGGGCCGGGTCGGGCCAGTACATTTTTATTATTATTATTTATATATTATACAAATTGCTATTAAAAACAAAGTTCAAGTGCATTTATTTGAAATAAGAACTACATTTGAGAATTGAAAAAAAATAACAATACGAAATACATTTTGTAATGAATATCAATTGGGATTTCCGCCACCGTTGGTTGTTGTTTTCCCTTTGTCACAGGACTTCATATGTTTTATTGGCATCCCGTATCCGTATGAACGCCCCAAGCAACAGTCTTTCTTGCACCACCTGCAAGTTGCCCACCACAGTCCGGTCTTCGGGTCCTTCCACTTGTCAAAATTGTTTTGCATAAGGGAAGATGTACTTTCCATATTTAAAATGGTATATGTATAAGTAGGAATGTAGGATAATAAGAGAAGATGAAGATGGAGAAGAGTTTGAGAAGAATTGGAGAAGAGGTGTAGAAAAATGTTAGAAAATAGATGTATTTATATATGTTTTTGAACCTCACTCCCCACACCACCACCCCCGGGACCCCCCTGCCCCCCCACCCATAGCCCCAACGGCTATATAGCCGTTTGGGAGGTTTGAGTTAATTTTTTTTTAAGTTATACACATATTGTTAAATAAATTAATTAATTTAATGAATTATGTAAAACTAAAACTATTTGTACTTAGAAAAGTGGTTTGATTTATAATTTACAAATGTTACAAAATAGGTGTATAAGTATTTAAACAAATTACATATTGTAAATGTATTTTTAATTTAAAAATCGGCTTTATATTTTAGAAAAATAATTTTAAGTCGTTAGATTGTAACCAATTAATTAATTTGAGAAGTGCTACATATGAAAAAGTGAACACATATTTATTTGAAATATGAAGTACAAGTTTACAAATTAATTTGAAGTACAACTACAAATTTACAATTTTGAA